CTCCCCCTGGTCCATACAGCCCTAGCCTGGTGCACTGTGGGCTGGGGTTCTCCTCCCTCTGGTCCATATAGCCCCAGCCTGGTGTATTGTGGGATGGGATCTCCCTCCTCCTGTTCCATATAGCCCCAGCCTGGTGCACTGTGGGCTGGGATCCCCTCCCCCTGGTCCATACAGCCCTAGCCTGGTGCACTGTGGGCTGGGGTTCTCCTCCCTCTGGTCCATATAGCCCCAGCCTGGTGTATTGTGGGATGGGATCTCCCTCCTCCTGTTCCATATAGCCCCAGCCTGGTGCACTGTGGGCTGGGATCCCCTCCCCCTGGTCCATACAGCCCTAGCCTGGTGCACTGTGGGCTGGGGTTCTCCTCCCTCTGGTCCATATAGCCCCAGCCTGGTGTATTGTGGGATGGGATCTCCCTCCTCCTGTTCCATATAGCCCCAGCCTGGTGCACTGTGGGCTGGGATCCCCTCCCCCTGGTCCATACAGCCCTAGCCTGGTGCACTGTGGGCTGGGGTTCTCCTCCCTCTGGTCCATATAGCCCCAGCCTGGTGTATTGTGGGATGGGATCTCCCTCCTCCTGTTCCATATAGCCCCAGCCTGGTGCACTGTGGGCTGGGATCCCCTCCCCCTGGTCCATACAGCCCTAGCCTGGTGCACTGTGGGCTGGGGTTCTCCTCCCTCTGGTCCATATAGCCCCAGCCTGGTGTATTGTGGGATGGGATCTCCCTCCTCCTGTTCCATATAGCCCCAGCCTGGTGCACTGTGGGCTGGGATCCCCTCCCCCTGGTCCATACAGCCCTAGCCTGGTGCACTGTGGGCTGGGGTTCTCCTCCCTCTGGTCCATATAGCCCCAGCCTGGTGTATTGTGGGATGGGATCTCCCTCCTCCTGTTCCATATAGCCCCAGCCTGGTGCACTGTGGGCTGGGATCCCCTCCCCCTGGTCCATACAGCCCTAGCCTGGTGCACTGTGGGCTGGGGTTCTCCTCCCTCTGGTCCATATAGCCCCAGCCTGGTGTATTGTGGGATGGGATCTCCCTCCTCCTGTTCCATATAGCCCCAGCCTGGTGCACTGTGGGCTGGGATCCCCTCCCCCTGGTCCATACAGCCCTAGCCTGGTGCACTTGTGGGATGGGATCCCCTCCCCCTGGTCCATATAGCCCCAGCCTGGTGTATTGTGGGATGGGATCTCCCTCCTCCTGTTCCATATAGCCCCAGCCTGGTGCACTGTGGGCTGGGATCCCCTCCCCCTGGTCCATACAGCCCCAGCCTGGTGCACTGTGGGCTGGGGTTCTCCTCCCTCTGGTCCATATACCCCCAGCCTGGTGTATTGTGGGATGGGATCTCCCTCCTCCTGTTCCATATAGCCCCAGCCTGGTGCATTGTAGGATGGGCTGGGATCCCCTCCCCCTGGTCCATATTCCCCCAGCCTGGTGCATTGTGGGCTGGGATCCCCTCCCTCTGGTCCATACAGCCCTAGCCTGGTGCACTGTGGGCTGGGGTTCTCCTCCCTCTGGTCCATATAGCCCCAGCCTGGTGCATTGTGGGATGGGTTCCCTGCCCTCTGGTCCATATAGCCCTAGCCTGATGCAATATGGGACGGGTTCCCCCTTCCTCTGGTCCATAAAGCCCCAGCCTGGTGCATTGTGGGATGGAACCCTTTCTCCCCTGGTTCTTATAGCCCTAGCCTGATGCAATATAAGACCAGTTCCCCCTCCCCCTGGTTCATATGGGGCCAGTGCAAATTAGGTTTGGCTCTTCACCTTTCTCCTGATCCATGTAGCCCCAGAGCATTGTGGGAGTGTGAAACGTTGGGGGTCAGTTCCCCTTTGGCAGCACAGGGACCCCACGTGCGAGGCTGTTGGTCCAGCCAGGCTGATCACCGAGGGATGATGTCCGAAACACACAAGCACCCGGAGGTGGGGGGGAGCGAGGACGTGATCTTCGAGGAGGAGGATGGGACTTCGACCGGTGAGCAGCTGCTGGGGGGCGGGGCTCCCCCCTTTCCTGGCTGTTAAGAACCCCGGGTCTAGTGCATTGTGGACCTGGAATTCCCCCTTGCTGGCTCCCTGTGCCCCCTGCCCCAGAGCACCCCCTTTCCTGGCTGTTAAGAACCCCGGGTCTAGTGCATTGTGGACCTGGAATTCCCCCTTGCTGGCTCCCTGTGCCCCCTGCCCCAGAGCATGATGGAGCGAGGACGTGATCTTCGAGGAGGAGGATGGGACTTCGACCGGTGAGCAGCTGCTGGGGGGCGGGGCTCCCCCCTTTCCTGGCTGTTAAGAACCCCGGGTCTAGTGCATTGTGGACCTGGAATTCCCCCTTGCTGGCTCACTGTGCCGCCTGCCCCAGAGCATGATGGGGCGGGGGAGGGGGCAGCGGGCGGGGGGGGGGGGCCGGGGGG